CTCCTTACAAGCCAGAGACAGGAAATGAAAAGAGAAATCGTCTTGACAATGACAGTCAGTTACAGAAAACTGGTGATGCTTCTCCTTGGTTCTTAGAACTTCTCTTCACAGCTGTGCCCTCTGCCCTGGGCCTTGTCCACATCTCCTCAGGGTCAGATGGAGTTTGCTCACTCTCCAAAGGCCCTGATGCTCACAGCTACGCTGATCCTGGCATTTATTTCAAAATCACAGAGATGACATTGGGTCACAAGAGAAAAACACCTTATTTTGGTGCTTATTATATTTCTTTTGTCCTTCTGACATAAGTTCTATTCTTTCCTGGCTTTGGTTTGCATTTTCTCATTCTTTTTAGATATGTTTCATCTTCTCACGTACTCATTTAATGTAAGGAATGCATAACCAACAGGCACTTGTGGGGTTCTGGCTGCCTGTGGTGGACCCAAAGGATATGCAATAACCTTCCATTTCCCGCCAATATATGGAGGAATGTGCTAGTTAAATAGCATTTTTGGTGCTTAATGAGAAAAAGTCCTGGCTCAAGGCAGCAGTGTCCAATAGAAATGCAACGTGGGCTACATATGTAATTTTATATGTTCTAGTTACCACATTAAAAAAGTAGAATTAATTTTAGTAATACTTAACATATCTAAAACATCATCATTTCAATATGTAATCAACGCAAAAAACTTAATGAGATACTTGACATTCTTATTAGTTTGCTAGGGTAGCTCTAATGAAGTCCTGACTTGCTACTAGCTAGGTTCCTTAACAACAGAGATCTATTTCTGGAGGTCAGAAGTCCAAGATGAAGGCATTGGCAGCGCTAGCTCCTTCCGAGGCCTCTCTGCATGGCTTGCAGACGGCACCTTCTGGCTGTGTCTCCACGTGGACTTCCCTTGAGGAATGTCTGTGTTCAATCTCCTCTTCTTGTAAGTCGGACCAGATTAGGGCTCATCCTAATGGCCTCCTTCTCCTTGTACCCTAACTACCTCTCAAAAGACCCCCTTCTCCAAACACGTTTCCATCTGTAGGTTTGGGGCATTGGGACTTCAACAAATGAATTTGGGGAGGACACAAATCAGCCTATATAACATTTTTTTTCTTTTCTTTTTGCACTAAGTCCTGGAAGTACAGTATGTACTGTAGACTGAGGGCACAGCTCGTCTGGGACTGGTCACCCTATAAGTGCCAATGGCCCGCAAGTGGTTTGGGGCCCACTTCTGGACAGCACAGGGCAGAGTCCCATCCTATCCCCAGCTTGGAAGCTGGTTTTTTGCGTACCAAACTCCCAGGGTCCCTCATTAACCAAAATCTCCCTTCAAGTTTCCTTTGGACATGTCACCCACCAACCATCACCTGCGAGCCATTTTGAAGCACTTTTAACTATGACAACTGCAATCGAGGAAGGGCCTTCCTACTCGGAGCTTCTTAATGGTCAGCAATGGTCTTAGCCCCCCATGATTCCATTGCTTGTAAGAAAGGAGTGAAGGCCGTTATTTCTCAAGTTACCATATACACCCAAGCCTGGTAGAGACATCGTGCCTTGGCCTTATTTCCTAAATGGAAGAGATTCTAAATCCTGCACAGAGTTGATCTTCCTCTGTGCCCCACCTCCCTCAGCCCCCACCTGGTAAGATGCCAGCATCCTGGTCAGGAGATGGGCGTAGGAGCCCAGTTTCTCAGGTGCTTTTGCATCGTCACCTACCAAGTCCCCTTGCAAGGAGGAAAGACACTCAGTCAGCTATGATGAGGTCAGGGTAAAGGCCCAAAGCCAACTTCTAAGAGACAAGGCCACTCTTACACTCCAGTTGTGGGAAGTTCTTCTCTTAGAAGGACTGCGTGCTTTGGTAAAGTCTAGGCTTGCTCCTCCTGGGCCTTGGGGACTCTGGATGAGGAGCCCACCTCCCCTGCCTGATCGATGCTGTGGTGCACACAGGTGCTGCTCACCTTGCCCTGCCCTCTGGGCTCTTGCCTACCCACTGAAATCTCGTGCGGGCACAGACCTGCTTCAGCAGATGAAGTGAGCAGAGCATGGACAGGCCAGCAACCCCTTCCTGTCCCTCCCCTGGCTACACCCACGTGACAGAACCTCCACTCACCTGGACACTGAATGGGTGTAGACCAAGAGGGAGAAGCAGGCCCATGTTACCTGGAGCTCTGGAGTTTCAGGGTCAAAATTCCAGCATATTCCAGCTCGCCCAGGCTGGCACAGAAGGTAATTATTTCCTATTGCTGTTTTCTCCAGAAAGTTGAATGCTTATTGGGGTTAAAATGGACGTTTTGCCTCACAGCCAATCCCTGGTACTTCACGTTGCATCCTCTCTGATCTCTCAGGCCCCTACGCTCTGGCCACTCTAGTTCTTGAGCATCAGCAGAGGTCACTCCTTTCCCAAACCCTTATTGAAATGTCACAGGCACTCAGAAATGGCTTTCCAAGCTCGCGGTTTTATCATTACACCTTGAACAGATGCTGGAAGACAACTTTCCCCAACCCCCTCTGACTCAAGGTGGGCTCTAGATCATGTCACCCTGGCCGTCCTTCTGACTCCACCAAAATACCAGGAATCTGAGGACAGTGCCCATGGGCTCTCCTTCATGTCATTCCATTTTATCACCTGGATTAGTTTTCTCTAAGCCAAGCCTTTTAGCCTGGGTTCTGCTGGCACTCTGGGCTGGACTCGCTCTGGGCTTGGGGGCCCAGTGTGCTGTGGGAGGCTCAGCTGCCTCCTCAGCCTCACCCACAGGTGGGAGTGCACTGGCTGTCTGACAGTCAGTCCATGCTGTAAACCACCGTTCTGACCTGAAACATTCTTTGTGTTCCTCCGTGTGATTTTTTTTGATGAACCTTCATTGCATAGAAGAGATAATTAGGCTATCTCTGCTTTAAAAAAGACGTTGTTCTTCCGTTTGTCATATTGGGGGCTGAGTATCCTGCTATCTGGAGCGTTTCATTGTCCGTCGGGAAGCTGTGGAATGCTGGATATTCCCTTGTTGGTTCACCCATTCAACGAACGCCCAGTGAGTTCAGGCTGTGTGCGGGCAGCCTCAGCCTAAGCTCCATGGGCGAGGAACATGGGAGCCTCTATTTCCTAGTGCTCACAGCTTCTTTGGGGAGTCATTAAAGATACACATATGCAAATTCCTCATTGCAAATTGTCATAAGAGCTCTAAAGAATGGCCCAGGATGTCTCAGGGGCTGGAGAGGAGGTGACATTCTGGCTGAGATGGGAAGAAATGTACCAAGGGACAGGCAGTAGGGCCTGCTGGGCAGGGCTGGAGCTCAGGACCCCAAAGGGGCTGAGTGGCTGGAACCCAGAGCGAGGGAGGGGAGGTCAGAGGTGGCAGGGCCACTACCTGCAGGAGCTGGTATGGCCATCTGCAGAGGCACAGATTCCCAGCCTGAGGGCCTTGGGCCTTGGGCTTTCCAGGGCTCTAGGGGTTCCATCTCTGGCTCTGGACACTTCCCAACTCCTGATGGCCCCTCTCTAGAACACCACTGAGCATGAAGCCGCTGGGGGAAGGAACAGCTGGGCCCACTCCTTATCTTTAGCCGTCCTCTGAGAAGTGGATTCCCCTGGCCAAGCCAATAAAACTGGTAACTGGCCCTAATTGTGAGAGCTTCTCATTTATATGAAGAAATACATTTGCTTCCCCTGACCCCCCAAGGAGGTGCAAGTCATCCAACACTTCTGACCTGTCTTTCCAAGTGGCCTTTGTATGGTCCACAGGCCACTGTAAAGATTTGGGACTTGTTTCTCACATTAAGGACATTAAGGGACAAAAATAGGTACATGAATGGTCACTTCAGAAATAAGGAGAATCCTGAGCTGGTGCCACAGGGATTCTGCAGTCAGCCAAAGAGAAGCAGCCACCTCCCCTCCTGGCATGGGTGCTGTTGAGGGTGGAAATGTGTCCCCAAGAAGATAAGTGCAGTCCCAAGCCCTGGTATCTAGGAACGTGATGTTTGCAAACAGGGGCTTTGAGTATAACCAAGTTGAGATGAGGTTGGGCCGGAGAGGGGCGAGCCCTAACCCATTGGCCAGTGTCCTTACAGGAAGAGGGAAATGTGGACAGAGACACCCGCTGGGAGATGTCATGTGATGACCAGGGCAGAGACTGACGTGGGGGATGTGTCCACAGGGAGCAAATGCCAAGGACTGCCAGCCACTCAGCCATGAGCCAGGGACAGGAAACGCCTCCTCCCCAGAGCCTCCAGGACAGGCCCCGCCCCGCCCGCCGGTGCTTTGACTTAGGACTAGAGAGGGTTCTGTTGCTTAAAGCCTCTTGGAGGTGCCGTGGCACAGCCAAGGACGTGCCTGGCACATACGCAGAGCTTCCTTCGTGGAACCCATATGTCACTTCTCTCAAAGAGGAAAAGACACAGACCCAGAGGCGTGAAGGACCCCCAGGAGGAGTTCTGACGTCACGTTGGTGGCAGATGTTAAGAACCTCTGAGGCTGAGGCAGCTCTTTTCCATGGTGACTGTGCATCTGAGCCACAAGAACTACAGTGACGAGATATGACAAGATAGCTAGTGAAGGTGGCGGCAGGTCTGCTCTGAGTACAGGTCACTGAGTACAAAATTAAAGTCAATTAATCTAGACACTGCCCAAGTGTAGTGACACATGTTCCACTGCAGAATCGACTTTTCTGTGACCACAGAGAAGCGCAAGATGTCAAAGGAACACAGTCACTCCAAGGGCAGAGACCCATCTGAACCACTGTCCCAGACTCGGTTCCCCCAGCAATAGCCTTAAAAATATGGGTGCATTTTCAGTCCTTACAATCTGCAGAGCATTTTAAAAGAGGCTATTGACTTAAAAGAAAAAAAAAAAGAAGATTCATACTTGTAAGCACAAGCTGGAGGAACATGCATAAAATATTTCAGTACACAATTTGCAACAAATTTCTGGTTCTGCAAACATCACAAGTTAAAAAGTATGTTTACAGAGCCGTGGGGAGGTGCACATAAAAGGAAAACAAGAAAACAATCATTTTACCTTGCCTTTGTCGAAGTAGTGGATGATTTCTTGGTAGAGCTGCTCCTTCAGCTGTCCCTGTGTGGTGGCCTGGTAGCCGTCCCGCTGCGTCAGGTGGGCCACGCACACGTCCTCCGACCACTGGGGCAAAAGCAGAGCATGAGCAGTGCTGGGCGGGGTGTGTCTAGGAGAGAACTGTGCACCTTGGGGGGCCATGACGCGGTGGGAGCTCCGTGTCAGGCGCGTGTATGTGTGCCCCGATTCTAGGCAGGTATGGCTGGCTCTGTCATCAGGCTGCCAAGGCCTGGGACGGCAGAGCAAAGCCCGTCCAGGGGGTCCAGAAAGATGAAGGAGACAGAGTTGTGGTCAGATTCATAGAGAAGAGAACAGCAGGAATTCTGGAAAGCAGAGCCATCAGCTTGCTGACAGACCCCTGAAGTGCGGGGTTCATTAAGAGCCAGGTGACAGAGGCCGTCTCAAGTTGGCAACCGGCAAAGCTCTCTGTCATGTGGGTCCTCTGTTGCTCAACACAAAGAAGGTATGTGGATCACAGGTCGTCAGGATAGGGATCCAACAGTCCATCAATTAATACAGATGAGGCCCTAAAAATAGGCAGCTGTCTGCAGATGTAACCACAGGCCAGGGCCTGGCACAGACTGGCCAATTCTCCTGTGAACTGAGGATGCACCAGGGAGAAGGTGTGGCCATCTGACAGGTGAGGCACGTAAGCTCCGGAACTTTGGCTCAACACATCAATAGCATTAGGTAGAGGGCTCCATGACTGTCGGCAAATGTTTGGCCAGGACCTACTATGTGCCAGGCTCTAGATCAAAGATGAGTGAGAAGGAGCCTGACCTCCAGGCTCCCCGCCACCCAGAGCCAGTGTGATTACGGGTGACAACATAAGGACATAAGGTAACGACAACCGGCTGCCTGGACACAGAAGAGTCCATAATGGAAGGGCCATGGCAGGATGTCCAGATGGACTCGGTGCTGGGGAGGCCACATCTGAACAAGGGCATCAGCTATGTGGCGTGTGTCAGGGGCCACACGGCTGATGAAAAATGAGGGGAGCTGTACGGGGAGTGGAGAGCTGGGAACAACTGTGGCCTAGCGCAAGGGCCAGAGGGACTGAGGCTGGCCTGCCTGGCAGGCCCCAGGAGCATGGCAAGGCCACCTACAGGCTTGCTCTCACAGTACCTGCCCAGCCACCTCTCTGCAGCCAAGGCCCTGGACAGCTTGAGCTGGTCCTCAGGGTTCCAAGGACAGGAGGCAGGGAGGACATGTCGGCCTCCCCACCCTAGGCCTGTGGGGCAGAGCCAGACAACAGGACTTGCAGACCTGCTGCCTTTGCAGGTGGCTGGTACAACTTAGCTGGGGCTGTGGCTACTTTTGTTAGGGGGTGGGGGATAAAAATAAAACTTTAGATGGTTCCGAAATGTAACTACAATAAAAAAGAGTAAGAAGGTTCAGACTTCTTTGGATTTTAAAACCAGTTTGTAAAAATGCAACATATTGAATAGGGAAACAAATATCCTCTGTACCTTCCACTTAAAATGCTGATAAAAGAACTTGATTGCTAAGCTATAAACTAATGTCTTCATTGCTCTTGTTTCTGGCCAAAAATATCCTTAGACAAAAAAGAAGCTTCTATTTGAGGATTTTAGTCAGCAAACAAGAACATATTTGTCATGTTCAAGAATTTTCATAGCAATACAAATTATGTTGTTTAGCAAGTTGATTAACCAGTATGAATCCACATTTACAGCAATATCCAAATAAATTTAGGAAAATTTGCAAAATGTAATGGTGTAAGAGATATGGAGAGAGATAATGTGACATTCACCATTTAACTACAAAACTCAGAACCCAGTGGAAAAGAGCATGCGATTGGGCCTCTTGATTTGGGCTGTGAGATAAGCCATCATGCAATCTGTGGTAGACCCAGCTGTACCCGATAAATCCAGTGATTAACCAAATGTTGTGTTTACACACGTATATGTTTTACATTCACATATGCATATAAAAGTTTATGTTCTTATGTGAGACAAAGAGTGAGGAAGTAGTTGTCAATCCCATTTTAATTTCTCTGGTATATAACAAAAGACTCTGACATTTGCTAAACACCTTGTTATTGAAATTTGGATTTCTGGTAAACAAAGACTATTGGAATTCACAGCAGGGCGGCTGTGGTCAGATGCACTCCCTGAAATCCCTGACTTTATAAAGGATTGCTGTTGGGGAGCTTCGATGGTCAGGAGGCCAAATGGGTCCTCTGGCCGTTAGCCTCAGAGCACTACCAAGAGGCGCCCAGGATGAGGCCTGAGCCCTTCTGCTTTGAGACAGAAGTAATGTCCACACTCAAGCCCTGCGGAAAAGCTGGTGTTGCTCATGTCACAATCTCTATGGGGAACTTTAAGGAGAGAGATAATGTGACATTCACCATTTAACTTGGGGCACCCAAGCTGAAGGAGTCTTCCTCCCTAGCTCAGTCCTGACCTCCCCCTGCCCGACAGGCATCACTTCCTGCCCATTTAATCACACTTTCTTTGGTCCTGTGCTATTCCACTTCAGATGTCTGGAAGACGGGCCTAGATCTGGGAGTGAGATTCCCTGAGGAAGCAATCTCTGTGTGGGACAACTCACCAAATTCTAATTGTTCTCTACCTGGTTCAGTATTTCCTAATAGTTATAAGGATATCATGAGAAGAAAAACCTAATGACCTGCTGAAATTCTAAATCATAAACCTAGAGGCTGTACGGCAATTTCCATAACCACCTGTCCCCACCCCTCTCTATCCATCATCCATCCACCTGTGCCTCTGTCCACCCACCTATTCTGGTTACTCACTGAGGGTCCTCTCTGTACTCTTCACTGCTGGAATTGGGCATGGGGTTCACAAACATGTAACTGCAACAAGAAACCCTGTCTAAAGCTACCCGTGTAATAAAAGAACCACTGAGAGACGGTCATGCCAGACCTGCGCTTCCGAGCAACACTACAGAATAAGGCAGAGGACACTGAAAGGAGGTCTCAGCATGAACTGCTCGGCAGAAATGGCAGGACCTGGTCCCTACGCTCTTTGCCAGGATAACTAGGGGCGTGTCTCTTTGCTCCACCGTGGATGGTCCTTCTTATTGACGTTGTTCTCCATCATTACTGAGTCCTGTTGCCAGAAAAGAGGAATTTCACAATCTCTAAATTGCTACCACCTCAGAGCCTGATGGTGGGAGCTTGGACTGCCTGGCGTCTTGTTAAGTCTGCATTCAGCAGGGCCGAGTCCATAATGAAATTCGCACTTCCTCAACATTTTTGTTTATGTTGTTGCAGTTACTAAATATCCATAAAATAAATACCCTAAAATCTGTAACAGCAAAATAATACTCAGAATAATCTTTGACTCTGTAACGACAGAATCATAGAAGTGCCTGATGATCTTCATTACCTTAAGTAGCTTCGCATGGAGCAGCAAGGTGTAAGCCGCTTCAGTGTAGTTATCACACTCTTTGTGCAGGTCACAGAGCTTGTACAAGTACCTGAGATGACCAAAGAGAGGTGCGTGCTTAAAAGGACACGGAATAATTTGTGTGGAGGATTGCAGGAGCTAAATTCAACATTCAACAGTAACGCCTATCTGCACTGTCTTTTTATAATGTTCATGATTCATAATGCCTCAAAAAATTTCAATGAAAAAAAAGCACTAAAAGCCCCAATAAGAGTAAATACATTCTTGGATAGATAGGTAGTAGATAGATATGAACACACATGTACATATGGATACACATATTTTAAATTTTAAGTCTTTTCAATATAAAAAATGAAGATGAAAAAGGTAGAGTTTCACTTCAAGCTGTCTTATTCTTTTTAATCTTTTCCATATTTTCCCTCAGTCATTTGAAATGAGATTACACAATCTTGATTGTCATTTCCTACGTGTCTATTGAATTCAAATGCACAAAAAATCCATAGGAATCCAAATCCATAAGAATAAAGAGCTCCCCCGATCACAGTGAATATGATCAAAAGAGCTTTGCTGCTATAAAGAAATAAAGGTTGCTTTTTAATATAAAGCAAGATACATTTTGGATGAAAGAAGCTGATTGTTTTCCCAAGTATATACTATAATAGTCAGATGCTGTTTTTGAAGGAGAAGGAAGAAAACACACACTCAATGTAATAAATATATCCTCAAACACTAATGCCATGTAGAGTTCATGCTTAGCCTGTTTTTCCAGTGTTGATCTTGATAATTATTTGACACTGGACCCTTACAGTGACCAGGAGAGAGACAGGCCTAATCCTGGTGCGTCACTATCACTAGCATGTTTTCCCCTGTGTCGCTGAGGATCTGACCGGGGCCTGGTGCGTGGAGGCAAGTGCACTGTGGTTGAGCTATCCCAGCCCTGTCTTATCTTGGATGGGAAACCAGGTGAGGGAGCAAAAATCTAGAAACATGGGGATTTGGAGTGAGTTAAGTGAGAGGAGACTGAAAATTCATAATACTGTCTATTTCTGGTAAATTATAACTGGACTTCTCACTTAATCAGATGAGCTACTGTGAAACATTAAAATCAATTTTTTCCCCTAAAAGGGCCATATGAGTTGGTCACAGGGGTATAGAAGTGATGAAATAATCATTTACAGTTTTGCCTCTGAGTTGGCTAAATGTGACCTCCAAATTCTGTATTGGTGGGGATCAGCTGTACAGGCTGAGAACAGACCTGTGGACCCCCAAACTCAATGTCAGGAGAATCGTAATTTCCTATGAATTAACTGCTGAGGTTATAAGCGGTTCTTAACATGGATTTGCCAAACAGCAATTACAGTGAGCAGGATGCAGACCTACCTTAGATACATTTCTTCTCTTTCAATTTCTTTGTAGAAATTCTGAAAAATTAAGCCACACATTGTTTTAAGGGTTCCACGAAGGGTGTCATGTCACATTAAAAATTCAAGGTTCTTCAACTTGTGTCAAACCTGGGCTCAGGGACCCAGCACTTCGGAGAGAGCTGTAGATTCACACAAGTTACAGAACCACCTCCCGCTGTCACTCACGTGCTTTGCTTTCCTCATGACCGCGCTTCCTGCACTTGGAAACCTGATGACTCAGTCTACTTCTGTTGGTCATGAGAAAGTCACCTGTTGTCAGTTAAAACAAGGTGCTAGCCACAGACAGGATCTTTTAACTGCTGCAATCTCATTCAAACAACCTGGATTTGGGATAGGCAAAGAAGCGGCACCCACATGGTTTTGAGCAGGAGGGGCCCCAGTGCAGCAGGAGCTAGAGAAGCCTTTGCGATATTCTAAGTCTCGGTGTCCAATACAGTGGCCACTGGCAGAGGCCGTTACAGGTGAAGAAACATTACATGAAGTTAACGATTCACCTTCCCAGGCACCTGCCACACTTGGACTGCTCAATAGCCACATGGGGCCATTGTTACTGTACTGAGCAGGGTCCACATAGAACCTCCCCTCTTCCCAGGAGTGTGTGTTGGACAGCACTCAATACTTCCAATGCACATGAGAAAACCAGTGGCATCTTAAAGGCCCCTCGTGCACAAATAGGTCAGCAGATTGCAACTGTTGGGCTACTTGTGTGAATTACTGCCAAGGACCTTCTGGCTGAGCACAAACGTTTCTATAAAAATTACCTTTCTTCATGTGACTCTCTCCATAAACACTTTAAAATCTTAATCATACCTGGGGCCCCAGACAAGCACAGAAGTCATCCAACAAGGCATGTGAGATTCAACACCTGAAAATGACATTAGCACTCTAGAATCGGTGCCCGAGGTGAACAGGTGAACATCAGTGATATGAAGACCTACAAGGACCCAATCAGATGGCAGAGGCACTTTAATTGCATCAGCCAAAGACAGTATTGCTTCCAAGATTCACCTCTCTGAGAAGATCCGTAAGTATAGAAAGCAAGCGGCGCATGTCTAGAAACAGGGACCAAGACTTCCACACTGCGCTGTGTCTGACAGTCTAACGTGCTGCGGGACCTGGGTGTGGCTGGGTAATGAGGATGTTCCCAGTTGAGAGCTTGGAGTGTCGGCGACGTAACCAGGGCATCTGCTGGAGACGGAGGAAGGGCGGAGCTCACTGGTGTTCATAGGCCGATTTCACACTCGTGTTTACACCCAGTCCTAGGGCTGGGTCACTGTCCTTCACAACTGCACAGCAGGGATATTGTGACCTTCCTTTCTCTCAGAGATACAGAACGTCTTCTATTTTCGGTCAGATTGACATGTGTCCTCTTCCCAGGTCTTCAAAACCTCTCCAGAGCAGAGCCACCCATCTCCAATCCCAATTCCTATGGAAACCTCCGTGTCTTTTATGTCCAGTTCTGGCTGCTCTAGTGCCCCCTGGGCTCTGCAGTAGCGCCTTTCACTCTCCCAGCAGCTGAGCCTCAAAGCCCCGCTGCAGTAGCACTAGAGGGACCCTGTCCCTTCCAACCGACTGCTTGGCCTTGACATCCAGGGCTCAGACACGTGCACCGTGTTTCAATTTTGGTTCCTGAATTGCTCCAACAGATGCGAAGTTGTTAAGATTCTGGTCCCAACACGGCATGCATTGCCTTGGAAGGGGTCATGAAGACAGAAATGGGCCTCTGTCATGAAGCGACTCTCAGCCTGCAAAGTGGGTGTGCTGATGACTGCAGAAGAGCAAGGGGCCACACTCTGAGTTAGCCACCAATGAGTAGGGACTGCCCGAGTGGAGGCGACAAGGAATGCTGCTTCCAGAGTCAGTGAGGAGGGAACCAGGACCCAACACACACCCAGAGAAGCTTGCAGGGGACGTTCAGGGGACTTAGAGCACTGGGCAAAGTGACTGCTCATGACCCTTGTATTTTCATTTTCCGTTTTGATTTTCTAAGAGGGAAGAGCAGGATATTAATGAGCCTTATGACTTGGCATATTCCATAAACCCGGTCTTAAAAAAAAAATCACAGAACTGGTTCTAAAACGGAAATTTGGCAGTGGACTTAAAGGGCACTGACACATTTTATGTTCTCTATTTTATTTGCTAACTTATTTATAAATGTACTTTTATTTTTAATGGACACATAGTGACTGTACGCATTTGGGGTACAGGGTGACATTTCAATATACATAGCGTGGAATGACAGGAATGAAACATCTTTCCCTCAGAACTTTATCATTTATTTCTTTGTGCTAGGAAAATTCAAATTACTTTCCATTTTGAAATATTCAATTAATTATTGCCAACCATAGTTCCTGTATATTATGGAACATTAGAAGCTATTTCTGCTGTGCTACTGCACCCCTGTACCTGCTAACTTGATTTTGCACTTGATTTTTTAACTTTAGAATTTCTGCTTAGTGACGAATTGAGTATATTTATGTACCTCTAATACACATTAACATAGCTATATTCATTTAGAGATAGATATACATATTTGTCTCCATACTATTCTTGTTTCTACAAGTAAAGGTAAAAATGAACCAGGAGATTCATGTATGAATATAAAATTTAGAGGTAGGAGATGTCTCTGTTAAACTCTATTATCTTGTTTCTATTTATCCCATGGACTTATTTTTTTCATATCAAAACATTAAAACAGGTCGGGATCCACTCTACCTTCCCCAGGGGATAGCTCAAGATAGAGCTCTCTGCTCCTCATGAAGTGACTCAGGATGTCACTCGTTGAGGGAGGTTAGGAGTGTGAGATCATCTCGGCTGTCCTGGTGTTTCCCAGTTAAGCAGAGCTAGTGCTGACCCCAGCGACAGGAGGTGGGCACTGAATCAGACTCTAAATCAAGGAGGAACACATGTCAACATCAGAAACCAAACAGCAGGTGTCATCACAAGAGTGTTTCCAGGGCGAATTCTGGTGACACATTCAGGCACATTCAGGGCACACCATCTCTTCTCCACCCAGTGGCATGTTTTGGTGAGCACAAGAGATCTTGCTTAAAACAAATAGAAGTCTTAATCATCAAAATTGGAAACCTAATAAACCTACCAATAATTCTTCCTTATAGACACTCCAGCCCCCTGAGGTCCCTTAAGGATCAGATGGAGCACTATAACTTTATGACCATAGCGGCGGGGGGCGGGGGGGATTCTGAAAAGACCTTCATTTTTTCCCCTAGCAACACACTGGTTTCTATTTCCATCAACCACATTGGCACCATGAAAGTCACTTACTTGGGGAAAAAGGCAAGAAGGTAAAGACACGGAAGGCAGAGTCAGGTGACTTCCTCTGCCTACGATACAGGCCAGCCTACCTGGGCAGAGCGTGTTGCTGTGCTACTTGGTCAGTTTATAGGTAAATGCAAAGACAAACAGAGCCAGTGGGACAGATCTCAGGACACACCCCAGAAGCCAGTGACTCTCTGGTTGACCAAGACTCTTCTTAGCATGAGCAAACATATTTAGGTTTGGGGGCTTGCTAGTTTTCCCCTCCGTCATGAGCAGTTGAATGATGAGACTATCCAAGGAATTTTTCATTGTGTTAGAGTGTTTTGAATTTCTCATTTGTGGGGGCGGTTTCTGCATCTATTACCCATCTGTTCTTGCACAGTAGCCCCTTTGTCAAGAGAGCTCTTGGCATATAATTTGTGGTTGTTTCAAATGCCTGGATGGATAATTCCAAAACCTCTGTCCCATCTGAGTTGGGTTCTGATGGCTGCTGTCTTCAGCCTGTGCTTGTTTTCAGTACTTGATTCACTTTTCAGTGCTTGATTCACATTGAAGGCAATAATGATGCACTGGGTAAGAGCAAGAGGCATCTAGTTCTGGCTCCCAGGCTGATTTCTGTCCCGGGATTCTGCTGCAGTAAGCTGTGCTTCTCTGTAGCCTCCTGTCTCTGTGGTGGTGGAGGCAGCCGCTTGCCTGAGAAGATGACCTAAGAGGAGCTGCTGATGCTTCACTATGACTTTTTTCTAGGGGAAGGCAGTGACATTCCCATGCTCTTCAAGTGCTGGATGGCACACCAGAAGACCCAGTATTTGGCTTCTAAAGGAAAAGAAAACTTGCTACCCAAAATGTTTAATATCAGCCTAAATAGATTATCTGACCACAGGATGAAGGGGCTAGGACTGCTCATGAGCTTTAGCTGCAGAGTTCTTAATGGAAAGACACAGATTCAATATTGACACAAAGTGTATAGAAAGTGAAAATTCTCCTTTTTTTTTTTTTAATCTTTTGAATTCAAACACCTCGAGTAGCTTTTTAGGAATGAGTGACTTGTCCCATTCCTCCTGGCAGGAAAGTCCATTTTGTGAGCTCCAAGCACCTGCAAATAACAGCTGTGGAAGTTAGGGGAAGCATCTGTTTGTTGGCCAATGGCAGGTAGGCGAGGGCTCTGAAATCCAGAGGCTGACGGCTGGGAACTGAAGGCAGGGATCTGGAGCCCAGGAGGAAGCAGGAGCTCTGGGTTTGAGAGCGGTGTGGCTGCTCAGAGCTGTGAGGCTTGCCAGCCACTCCCTGGACTTGAGCTCTGGTGTCATCAAGCTCATCAGCTCCACTGGATTTCCTGGGTGTACCTCAGGAAGGGCAAGTCCACAGACCCGGCCAACCAGAGCAGCAGTGCATGGACGTCTCCAAGTTCACCTAGCTACCTGCCATCAATGCTGCCCTGCACCGACCTCCTGCAACTGCTGGAAAAAATGACCCCAAACTTCATGGCCTGCAAGAACAGATGTGCATCCTCTCACAGTTCTAGAGGCCAGGAGTCCACAGTCAAGGCATCTGCAGGGCTGTGCCCCTCCTGTTGGCTCTGGGGAGGGTCCTCCCTGTGCCTTACAGCTTCTGGTGGCCCCAAGCATTCTGCAGCTGTGGCTCCCTCACTCCGACCTGTGCCTCCTTCTCCTCCATGTGGCCTTCCTGTTCCAGGTCTTCTCTTCTGCATCTTCTGAGACCATTTGTCATTGGACTTAGCCCTCTTCTCCTGTCCCCAGGTAATCCAGGATAATCTCATCTCGAGATTCTTAATTACATATGCAAGGACTCTTTTCCAGACAAGGGCACATTCGTGGGTTCTGAGGATCAGGATGTGCGTGCATTTCCTGAGACCACCATGCACCCCGCTCACCAGAGGACACCTTCTAAACTCCTAGCAGCAGAGACTTAAGATCTGTGACCCATGAGGTGCTACCATGGTTACATAATGAGATGGCTGGCCACCTTCGACCACAGCAGGGGGACATCTGCAGGGGAGCTGATTCTGCACACGTTCAGAGTGCATCTGCAATCAGGTCATTACTCGGTCCTGGCAGCAGCAGATGAGGAGACAGGCAAAGGAAGCCATGTTCTGCTGTGGAGAGCCCCATGCCCACAGTCAGGTGGGCCCTGGAAAACCGAGGTGGGGCTCTGGGCATGCTGTAGAGATGGGGGGCCTGAATAGCTTCCCACTCACCAGCACATTGACGGTGCAGCTCATGCGGTTCTCCTTGTTCTCGTCATGCATGATGGTCCTGTAGTCCAGCAGCCTCTCCATCAGACGCACCACCAGCCTCACGAAGGTCTCCCCGGTCTTGGCGAGGTACTTGTGCTTCCTGCAGTGCTCCAGGAGGCTGGAAAATAACCACGCACACCTCGCTGATCACGCTCAGGAAGAAAAAGTCAACGGAGGTGCAATTTTAAATGTTTCCCATTATTAACACATTTTAATTATTTCTGGGCTACAAAGTTCATTGTCGTCTAATTACAGCCTCCCCATCTCTGCTCTGACATAGATCCCACTGCTCATCAACACTTACATTTTATCGAACAGCACTTTGTACTGCTCGTCTCCGCGGCCTCCCTCCACTTCGTGATCCAGCTTGGTGATGATCTCATTTTCAAACTATGATTCAACAGAGGAGGAGGAAATCATCAGCATGGCGGATACTTCGTTTTGACTTGAGTGCAAATAGTACATAAATCGGTGGGTTCATCATGGATGCTGCTGAAGGCTGACCGCGTGTGAAAGATGCCATCCCTGAGCCCTGGGGGTCTCTGATGGTCCCCAGCCATAGAAAGTCCCTCATTTCCTTCCAATGGCAGAAGTAAGAAGTGGGGAAAGAAAGGCAAGAGAGTCACAGGGAACAGAACCAAGGAGTAACGGGAACACACGTCTCCAGCTTCAACTTGCCGAACAAGTAACCTCTGAAAGAGTCGGTGGCCCCTGGAAGTGAACTTCCCAGGCAAGAGCTCTCAGAAACCTGAACACACCCCAGGCGCCGCTTCCTGCCACTCTGCCATAGATCCTAGTGCAATATCTCCCTCCAGTTGAAAAATATTAAAAGCAACAGGGGCAAGGCCCCTAAAGAGACCACTCAGGAAGGTCGATCCCGGGCCTGTCCTGTCCCCACAGAGCTTCTGAATGGATTTCCAGTTCCTCAGAAATGACTCTCAAATCCATGCTTTTCAAAAAGTCTAATAAATTCTGGGGAGTGGCAAATCTTCAAACTGTCTTGAAGGGCCGCCTGGGCCGGAAATCACTACCTTGAAGAGGAGGAGTCTGCTTGCCCCACCTCCTTCCCTGGTGGGACTGGGATTCCAGCCAGGGGACCACCATGCCACAGAGGGCCCCTTGGCTGCCCATCCAGGTGAGCTAGTAGGAAGGAGGGGCTGTGGAAGTGTCAGGTCATGCAAGGGTCTCTAGGAGTCCTTTGAAAGATACCATCAATCATCTGGTTTTGATCAACAATCCCCAAGGCCCCCACTATGATCAGGATCCTGTAAGAACTTAAGCTGCATGAGAGCAAGCCTTTCTTCTCATCGGGGCATGGCTGTACCCCAGGGTCCAGACGGTGCATGAGGTGGAGACTCTAATGGAACGAACTTGCTGTGAGTCCATGAATGACTGGATAGAGCTGGGCAGGGCTCAGCATGTCAGCAAAAAAGCCGGCCAGCAGATCGCTGACACATCCTGATCTCTGGGCCTTGCGAGCCATGTGGCGAGCACAGCTGGTCTGGGGCACCTGTGACAGACACTGTCTATCCACTGGGGACTTGGGGTGCTGCTGCTGCTGCAGTGGCAGCTACCTGTGGCTCCTGGGCAACAGAAAGCCTGACCCAAGGAGGGATTTCCACACTGGCACAGACCCTCCTGTCCTCAGTAGGACACATGGCCTGAAGTCAGTGTCATCCTGCTGCAGATGAAACAGGACCTTAAAATGGGGCTAGAGGAGTAAGGAGTCCCCCGTGGCATCGGGGCTCAGCAATGCCTCAGCCTCGGGAGCTCTGTGAGCGTCCTCAGTTCTCTCCTGACCTTCTCCATGTCTCCTCCCCACATAAACAACTCCTTTTGATTCTTTTTAGACTAAGAAGTTCACAGCTCTTAGGAACAGAGAAAGAACTGCTTCTCTTAGAGGAAAAAGAATGACTTGCCTTTTTTTCCCTACCTGAAGTTTCAGGATGATGACTTTCACTATAAAACAACAACCCTCTTAAGTTGACCCACTATTACTCTGCCCTTCATAGAATTCTGTAAGAGGTCATTCATTTTGGAATCTGACATAGGAGAGGTAGCTTGCCAACAGTTACGAAGATGGGATTTCAAGCAGTCCTACTTTTTAGGTGGGGCCAAATATAAAACGATGCTTCGGAACAAATATCGGAGGCATAAAGTAGGACTAAATTCAATCAAAATATATGATTCTACTCCATACATGTTTAATGAGTGCTTACGATGGGGAAAGTAGACAGAATGCAGAAAGCATGCTTCCTCCTAATGCAGAGACACACAGGCCTTTAAAATCGCTCATCACGTGTCAATCAAAGGTATGGGAATTTGGAGTCTACTTTGTGAAAATGGCATGTTTGCTCTGCTTCCACATAAACCTTGCTGTCACAAACAAGCAACGAGGAAGCTCCAGCTCCTTAAGTATGCTGCTTATCAAATTTTGACTGATGAACTTAATGTCTTTCTAAAAGGATTGGATGAATGAGCACATCAGAACATAGCTGATTCTAATTTTGCTAACCTCTAGTCTAAACTAAGTAATTTGCACAAACACCTGGCAACTGTGTGCTGTTTATCAGCAAGGATTCAACACCAGAGATCTGCAGCCAGCCTCTAATTCCAGGGTCTCTGTTAATTTTTATAGAACATACTAGAATCAATTTGCCACTGTGCTGTGAACTGTTGTCATAATCAGAATTAAACGATCGTGTCCAAATAAACTGGAGAAAGTACATTTGCTGATGGAGCAGAGTTGGTTTTATAAAAGTCATGTTTATTATCTTATTCTTGATGCACACTGTCTAGTGAGCTGCAGCAGGGTTCTCTGTGGTTAGGATAAAATTAGTAGGGGCTCACGATGCTGCTCAAAAGGCGGCAGAGCCACACTCATGTCACAAGCAAAGTCACTACGTTTCCCCTCTCTTTTCTGAATCACCAATGTTGCTACAAAAATACCCACAGGGTGTCCAACTTTAAATATTGAACAGAGTACCTCTAAGTATCTGACACCAGCAGCCCTCCAGGAAGAAGAAACGTATAAGGATAGGGATGTAAGGCTTCAGAAGGGTGCTTTGCATTGAACCTGACAGGGCTGGGGGCTGCACTCACGGTGGCATTAGCATTGATTTTAACTAACTAGAAAGGAACCATTGCTGTCCCCCCTGTTACCGAGGCAAGCCACGGGTTATAGACTCCTAGTCCATAGATTGTGAGAGAAGCATCCCCAGTAGCGGATAACCCCAAAGCCAGTTACTTTCAGCTTGGAATGCCTAATTTCTGTTTGGGGTTAGATTTATCACTGTCATTATAATACATTTATAAACATATAAAATCAGGCCTGCATGTCTCAGGGATCCAGGAACACACTTTCATAAGAGATTGGGGGTTTTGTCCTAGCTTGGGCACAAACAATTCACCTCATGGACAAAGGGCACAGAGGCTGTCAGGAGCTGGAGAAACTGGGGTCTACACATGGGGTCTGCTTTGTATGACAGCAAAAGGTTTATTTGACTCTTTATGTGGGAACCTTAGTACACAATTGTTCCCTGCCCAAAGGGCTCTGCTTTCTCCTGGTTTTCAATGAAAAAATGCTCTGAAGATTCTACAGGTAGGATTGGGGTGTTTGAGCACCTCTGATTTGGGGCATGCCACGGAAGCAGGCTCCCTGTGTCCGCCCCACCTCCAGATGGAGCTGGACCATTTCCCATGGCATCTGCAGGAGGGGCGAGAGGGAGAAGATGCTTGACTGTATCTGGGCAGGAAACATGTCAAGAAGGAGATTCAGCAGAGACAGGCTGGCGCTTGAAAACCCCAGGGGCTCTGGGCTCCCACGCTGCTCTCCTAAAGGTTCCGGATCCCCCAATCTGCCCTCAGCCTTTAATGCCTGTGCTCAGACACACACACGGACACTTCCTCTTGCCCAGCCACTCTCTCCACTTAATTACGTACTTCATTAATCTCTGGCCCTCCACCCCGCCTTCTGAAACCCCCAAGTCTTCTGGGGTCTACAGAGCAGGCAGCTCCCTGACCTTGATGCCCTGCAGAAGGATATATGAGGCTGCTACGGACTCCAGAGCCACACACTGGGGGCAGCCTGGCTGGAGCTGCCGGCTACCTGATCGTGACACCTGGCAATCCCTGAGACAGACACAGCCGCTCCCACTCCTACATGACACAGATCTAGGAGTGACTTTTGGGCTGGGAGCGGCCACAGTGGAGCCTCATAGTGAGTCCTATTTAATTTAAAGGTCATGGGCACTTGGGTAGCTCTTTAAAAGGTGAAGACCTTTTAAGGACAGAATTCAATGTACTCAGCACTCCTGGATCAAGGGCACCTTTACATCTGACTTCATGTTGCATGTTGCACCTTCTCTCAGACCACTTTACTTCTGGCTTTAACAAATAAAAGCCTAATTCTTGAGCCACGTTTCCTTCTTAAGTATCCAAAGCGATAAAACCAAGTATTATTTTGAAATGAAAATCACAAATAAACAAACTAACAAATAAAAAATCCCAATGAATTGGAGAATAAGCAAAATAAAAATGCCACCAAACTTATTCACATTCATATTACAGTGCAAGTGGCAGAAGCTGCTAGCATTTACTTGGGTTATTCAATTATTTGCTTCAGGTTACTGGCATGGGCAGTAGGAAGAGATTATTCAAACAGGAACTCAGAAACACTGACGACACAAAGATTACTCATGTTCTAACATTGTTACAACTAAATGGGAATTTCTGGAAGTTGTGGAGCAATTTACTGAGCCTCGCAAAGATGACAGAAAATAGCTCCATGATTGAAAATATTATTTTGCTGTGGCGCCTTTTCCATTCCACTTTTATTAATGGTATGTGGCCCATATGGTCATTTGCTGCAATTCTCAGCTGTTAGTTCTGTATTTTCCAAAGGCATAACAAATGGAATTCTTTAAAAGGATGTCAGGGGAGAATTTAAAGCCTGCTTTTGTTTATGAAGTAAAATCCAGTGTGAGGCTGAGACGCCAAGTATCATCCATTCAGAGGGCGGGGTTCTTGGAGAGACGGAGGGGAGGTCAGCGTGAGGCCAGGCCAGGGCTCGGCTCTGGCTGCCAAAGCCAGGCTCGTCTGGGTGGATAGCACCCCACACTTCCCCCAGGCTAGCTGGGCACGTTCTGAAACCTTATCAAGTGAGGGGTCTTCCTCTAAAAAAGGCAGACCTCGGAACATCCTCAGTTCAAGGGTAGATGTGCTACTCTGGGATTGGGAGAGGAACAGCATGGGGCAGGTGACAATGACTTAAATGTGGGGGTAACGAGAAGGTGACAGGTCACAGAGAAAGTGTCCTGGAGAAGTAATGGGAAGGCAGAAGCAGTGGGGGGAAATGCTTAGGAGAAGAAGATGGAAATCCAGTTCATGGG